TATCTTTGGCATGCAACAGTTTCACCTGATTGATTGAAAGGGATTTGTTTTTACTTACTCTGTTCAGAACTCTTGTTTAGGATTTCTGGAATGAGGATTTCCTAGTTCTTGAATATCCCAAAGCTTTTCTTCTAATATTGCTTCTCCAGTATTTTCTTTATCCTGGAAATTTGCCTTCTCATTCTACCTTCTGTGTATCTTAACCAGTCTTTTATATTTTCCAAGCTTTGTTTCTAGATTCTTCTCTGGTTTACTTTTCTTGTCTCTGTGTCTACCTTGCTATTTAACTCACCTGTTAAGTTTTTTCTCCTTTAATTTTAATGGTTATAACTTGTACTCTTATAGAATATAGTTCTGTTTAAGAAGGACAAATGGGGCTTCCCTGGTGGCGCAGTGGTTGAGAGTCCGCCTGCCGATGCAGGGGACGTGGGTTCGTGCCCCGGTCCGGGAGGATCCCACATGCCGCGGAGCGGCTGGGCCCGTGAGCCATGGCCGCTGAGCCTGCGTGTCCGGAGCCTGTGCTCCGCAATGGGAGAGGCCAAATGTTTTGTCACTTCTTTCATGTCCTTAATCATTTTAGTTGTAGGGTTTTTTTTAAATCTCCTTTATAGGGTTCTGTTATCTGGGATTCATTGATTTCAGGGTGCTAATTCTCAATGTATTGTGCATATTTGATTCTCATTTTGGGAGTTCTTTTCACATGGGATTATTTTCTGGGGAGAGATCATGTGTGCTATGGGTTGTAGATCATGTTTGTTTGTCGAAATAGTTGGTGTTTGCTTTACCCAGGTGTCCATTGCCAGTGCAGTTTAAGTTTTATAATTACCCACTGGGATCCCTATCACACAGAATCTCCTGGGGATTTTTCTCTCCTGCACCTGTGCATGGTGCAGGCATTAGGTTTCCATTTCTCCTGACACCCCCCCCCCCCACACACACGCCCAGCCCTCTTCCTTTCCTCCGTCTCTGTTCCACAAACAAGCCTACCTATTGCCTGTGGGCTGACAGGTAGAAGTTTTCTCCTCCACCATTGCCTGATGGTACAGCTTTTCCGGACTCCTGGCTTTACACTGGGATTTGAATTTCATGCTCCACATTATATGTGCTGAAGGCCATGTTTCATATGCCAATGTGAACATGGAAGCCTCAACTTGTAGACACTATATCTGGCCTGGGATGTGGTTTTCCAAAGTTCCCACAGTATAATCTCTAGTTCAAAATTTTGCCTTAATTTCTTGCTCTTGGAGTTTTTGCTTTTGTTGCTATTCTTTTGATTTCAGCTATGTTTTAACATGTGGGTGTTGTATTTTATCGTGCAGTTCTGTGTGTTCATAATTTTGGTTGGGGTTGAGGGAGGGTATTTGTTTTATTTAGCTCAGTCTCTGATTTCCCAGAATTATGATTATCTTAAGTGGATGTTTGTATTTAGGAATGATGTTCATTTGGTATTTCATAATATTTGAGCCATTTACTTTATGCATTCTGTCATTATTTGCAAGAGTCTTGTTTGTTTGTTTCTTTGGGTTTTTCAGGTATAGAATTATGTCATCCAGAAACACTGATACTTTTACCTTCATAAGTTAACCTTAAATTTTTAAAATTTCATTTCTTTATTTTGTTCATTGCTCTGGTTAATTCGTCCAGTGGGCATTTCTGTATTGTTCCTCACTTTTCTTTGAATTGGGTACTTTTAAGAAGGATTTTTTCGAATGTTCTAAAGCGATTAACTTATACATGGCTTAAATATCTTAGTTTGTATATTCACTTAATAAGAAATTATAGTGTAATTATTGTATATGATCTCACCAAAATGTCATTTTAAGAGTTAATTACAGAAGTAATGCAAAAAATAAATACACAAATGAAATATTTTTAATTCATATATTTTTTTAAATACAGATTTTCATTCTTCTAGTTTGTCTCTCATGGTGTCCTCAGTGTGTTGCTATGTTTGCTTAAGTGTTCCAGTGATTGAGTACTAATTAATAGCAAACTGTTGTAATAACCACAAGTAGTACCCCTGCCTCTACCCCTCCCCCCCGCCATGTAAGGGAAGATGGAACTTATAAAGGACTATTGACATGTGAGGGAGATGAAATTGAATCTGTTCATTCTACTTCACCTTTACTTTTAGTTACTGATTTCTGTAGTAAGGTTCTGCTCCTTTGTGCTGTCTGTAATTTAGTGTTACATGCAGGCAGTTAATATTAAGTGTGTTGTGCTTATCGTCTTCACAATACCAAGTACAGAATAACTCTCTCCAAGCAGATATGTGTGTATTTTACTCAGTTCTTTAACATGTTTGCAAAATATTTTGGTGGCACAAAGCTATGCCTTTTGTGGCTGGATGTTTCAGTAATTTAGAGGTCACTTTCCTTTCTCGCTTCCCATACAGTTTAAATATTCTGTTACCCTTATGGGTGGTGATCCTTATTACTGTTTTACGTGTTTTATTTTGTATGTGTTTAGATCATGCCAGCCAGCCTCAGCTCAGATATATTAACTCAGATTTCGGTGCTGAAACTTTGTACTAGAATAGCCACAAAATTTAAAATTCTGAAGAGAAAGCTTGTAACTTACAACCTGTAAATTCTACTAGATTGTTATTGGTAGTCTTTTTCCTCGTATTTAGCCTTAAGGAGAGATTCTACCTTTTGTTTCACTTGTACGCCTGCTCTGGTGTCAGACTCTTCCCCTCCTCTCCTGCTGCACCCCACTTCCCCCACCCTGCTCCCACACGTCGTTTAAGTTGTCACACTAATGCTCCTAAGTGTAATGGACCCCCTTTCTGTTCTCTAGTGTATGGCTTAGGGGTTGGGCAGCTGTATTGAATATTGGCTAAGAGCGCAGGCTTTGGAATCAAATAGACCTGAGTTTCAATCTTGATTCTTTTGTTCAGTAACGTGTATTTGTCCTGACAATAAATTTTTAAAAATTATTTTTAAGTTAGTTTCTTCCTCTGTGAGGTGACTTGATATACCTACCTCACAGGGTTGTTGTGAGGATTAAATAGTCTGGTGTATGTGAAGCACTTTTATTACTGCCTGACATATGGAAAGTGCTTAAGAATTGGTAGCTGTATTTGCTGCTGTTATTTAATTTAAAGGTAGTAAACAAATTTACTCATTTTTGGTGACTTGGCCAGTTTTATATTGGAAGGGCTTAGAGACTAGCTTTAGGAAAACTGTAGATGCATTTCACATTAGATGAGTGGGGAGTATGTATCTTTTGAAAATAGTTGAATAATCCTCCCAATTTTTGCAGTATGGATTGACCTACAATTAAATGTATAATATACAGCGTTAGAAAAAACACAGAACTCTGGAAAAGTTTTTTAAAAATTAGGCTCATACATTAATATAATAGCTTGGCTTCCTTATAAGTATTTTTCTAAAGGGTTTTAAAATTTTTAAAGTTTCTCTTAGATGTATTTAAGACATACTTGCAAAATTCCTGGCCTATTTTAATGTCAGTGCAGTAGACATTGTGTTATAGCAGGAAGAGTATTAAACTGGAAGTTTGGAGATTTGGGTTTGAAGCCTGGCTTTGCTGTTGGCTGTGCACATATGTCCTTGGTCAGATAACAAACCCCCTGTGTGTAAATTTCTGATCTGTACTGCGGGGCTTGTTACCTGACCTACCTTAGTTGCTCAGAAAATCAGACAAAATCATTATGTCAGGGCTCTTTAGAAAATACAGAGGTCTATCCAGAGTAAAAATAAGTATTATCTCAGTTCTCAACCTGATTTTTATTCACCTACATCTTTTCAAAAAACAGTGTTCGTGTCTTATGAATTCTTAGCAATTGAAATTCATATCCCTTGTTAATCATATTTCTGTGACCAGAAGCATTTTGGTAACTTTTTTCTTGAATTGTGAGATGGCATATTACTTCAGGTGAAGTTTTTTAGTTGTTCCCCAAATAGCCAGAAAATAGTTCCTGGATAAGCTAATTCTTTCAGGAAGTGTAACTAACTGTAGCTCGAGAAACCATTTTCAGTCTCTGCTCAGAACTGATCACCTCCATTAAGCCTTTGATTAACTGTACCTGGTTTTACTTAATTTGTATTCCATCTGTATTTAGGCATGTAGTTTACAGTGTATTAGTTTATATTTGAGTGTTTTTGTAAGCCATTTTTTGTCTTTTACATGTGACCTGGCCTTGTTTTCTCAGATAGCTTGGAATCTCCTGAAGGGTGAAGACAATTGTCCTTTCCCTTTCTCCACCATAGATTCATGATAGAGGATGCTCTGCATACAGTGGTTGCTTGCTAGTTGTGTTTAGGTAAAACTCACACTAGAGCAGAGTATGCATCTGCAGAAATTTTCAGTTGTCTACTATATAGCGTATGCCTATTTAAAGACAAAAGGCATCAAAACAGTATACTTCTTGATTTAAAAAAAAATATGGTATTTAAGTGGCCATGTATTTCAACTAAGACTAGACTTAGTTTTTTTTTTGCTTTTTCAAACCATTCTGTTTGTAGTATTTGGCCAAAAGAAATCTAATAAATCTCATTAAATAATTTGATTTTTTGATACTAAAATATTATAGGGATATGTGATATTTGTATTGTTAATAGCCATAGTTTTAAATGATTCATTACAAAAAAGGAATTATGCCTTTTATTAAAGAAAGGCTTTTATAAAAGGCATAATTTTATAGAGTCCCAGTTATTTCTCACTTTTTGATTAATTTATTAAATTATCAGTAATTCTTATTATTGAAGTTTCTCATGTAAACCTTGATATGGAGGAGACGTATTCTTACAGTAAATATCCTCATTTATTTGGGAATGACTATATTTGAAAAAAAATTCTTTACATTTGCTTTTAATCAGAGCTTTCTCTAAAACAAGATAAAATTGTCTTTTATTTTTGAACTTAAAGAATTTTGCTAAAGATGTTTCTTCCAAATGAATGTTTGCATTTTATTTTCCAGATTTTTTTCTCTGAAACCAATTTTTGCTTTCTAAGAAACATTTTTACATCTTATTCAGGAATGTCATTGTCTGCTGGATCTTCCCCTCTTCACTCCCCCAAGATCACGCCACATACTTCTCCTGCTCCCAGAAGAAGAAGTCACACTCCAAATCCAGCGAATTACTTGGTGCCTTCTAGTGCCTCTACACCTGTTAATAATCCTGTTTCTCAGACTCCATCTTCTGGTCAGGTGATCCAAAAGGAAACTGTCGGTGGGACGACTTACTTCTATACAGACTCAACTCCAGCACCTTTGACTGGAATGGTATGTCTGCATTTAAAGGAGAAAAGAGAGGGCTCTTATAACAGCTCCTTCTTATTAATGAGATTAATGAGGAGGTTTACCCAGTCCTGTATCTTTATACTGTGATGTGAAAAAGTAATTAATTTCTGACTTGGATGATAATTCTAATCTTTTCTTACCTGTTCAAAGTAATCTGTTTCTGCATTAATAATATCTCTAGTTTTGGACAGATCTGCTTGTAATCAGAAGTTATATTTAAGCTCTAGTTTATTACTTTATGGCATGTTTTGCTTATGGGGTTACCTAGTACTTGTGCTAGCTGGTGTTCATGTTTGCTGACTTTTGTTTATAGATATAGGTAGTTTCACCTCTGAAGTTAGAGAAAGTAGTTAGAGAAGTAGATGGATTCTTATCAGTAGTTGCTGAAAGCAAACCGATGATAAATGCTTGCTCAGGCGAGGCAGTGATTTAATAGCTAGAACTCTGGATGGTGGAGGGTACAGTGATAGGAGGCCTCCAGCATGGGTCACTGGTAAGGAGGGAGGAGGTTCAGGGAGCCCTGATTATGGGTAAGGAAAGAGCTACCAAAGGACTATCGGGTGGGGGGGG